ACTTGAAAAAAAGCTTGGTGCAACTTGTAGGTTCTCATTATTAAATGATTAGTAAAATACAAACCAAGCATTTAAAAGACACTATTAAAAGTTAGAAGAAGTAGTTGTTATAAAGAAGTTGAATTTAGATTTTAAAAGATATTTTGCATTTGCTAAAACTTATTAAACTAGCTGTTAAAAAGCTTAAAAGGAATAACTCAACGCTTTTAGCTAGTAAAGTGCAATATTCATTGCACCAGATAAATTATACTGTTATGGGTTACGTTTTTTTGTTTTGTTTTGAATGCAATAGCTTTTAAAAGATAAGCAAAAATATAACTTATTTTATAAGTTGCAACAAGAAAGATACTTTAGTAATTTTATAAAATATTCGAATGTTTTTATATTCGGAACTATATAGTTTTTCTTACTTAATAAGTGACAAAAATTAAAGGTTTAATGAAATAGTTGATTCGCAAATCAAATACAATTACAATTATGAACTTCAAACTTTATTTAGCAATTTTTGACAAATAAAATAAAACAATGATATAATAGTTTAAGCTTTTGTGCATAATATTATTTGTAAATTACTTGAATTATTTGTTTATTATATACAGAAGAAAGTAATTTTAAAATTGGAGCCATTAAAAAAAAAATAATACAAATTTGAACAAGTTACATTTTATATACTGTTAAACATAATATATATATATATATATATATATATATATATATATATATATATATATATATATATATATATATATATATATATATATATATATATATAATATATATATATATATATATATATATATATATATATATATATATATATATATATATATATATATATATATATATATATATATATATATATATATATATATATATTTGCATTTAAATATTCATATATTTTTTTTGTTCTTTTCTACAATGTTTAAGGTACAAATACAAATATACAAGAGTAAAATTTCAAGTGAATATCAAGTTTCAAAAGATCGAAAAAAAAAAAGAAAAAGAAATAAAGAAAGAACGGGAATACTCAAATAAGATAAGGTTGTGTCACAGAGAACCGCTGATGAAGAACTTGAAACTTAAAATTTATACAAAATATAAAAGTTGTTATACAAACAAATTAAATTGATAAAATTAAAAAATCCTTTTGTAGTTATTGTAAATATAAAAAAACAAAAAATATTTGATTTAATAAATAAAAAGAAGGCGGACACTCGCTGAAGTCCATTAAGTATTCATTTAAAACAGTTTGTAAATTTAGAAATGTCATAAAAATCAAATGCATACATACATTGTTAAGTGTATAAAGAGTAAGAAAAATTTAATTGCATTTATATACATATTCAGTTGCATTACTGCATAAAAAATAAAAAAGTAAATTGAAAGTACAAATATATATCATCAATAGACAAAATGATTTTCTTGACCTTTTTTTTGAATGATAGATAACTCCATTCCAAAGAATAATGGAAATGTTTTAAAACTATTTTATTCCAAAGAGGAGCTTCACAAAATGAAATGCTTGATTTTCCAAAATTAGTATGAAAGAATGGTTGACAAATTAAACTATCATTTCTTAAATTGTATTTATATTTATCTTTTAAGGTATATAAATTATAGAAAGAAACTGACTTAGAGTTAGTTTTACATTTGAACATTAAACAAAGATTATTAAAAACATTTAGCTGATACATAGCAAAAATTTTTATTTCAAACAAAAGACGCTTTGCATGAGTAAACCTATCTTTAAAATTAATAAAACAATGCTTTTGTTTGCGATAAAGAGACCTAAGTTTGGATTTATTAGCACTACACCAAACAATATTTGCATAGTTTAAATCACAATGGATAAAGGAGTAATATAATTGAGTTAATTTACGTTTATCTAAAACATTTCTAGCTTGATACAGTATTCCTATACTTGTAGCAACTTTATTACGCAAGAATTCTATGTGATGTTTCCAGTTAAGGCTTTTAGTGATACAGATGCCCAAAAAGATTGTATTAATTACTCTTTTTTAGATTTTTGTCAATAAAAGGTAATGATTAATCGAAAAACAGAAGTTTTTTTAACATTAAGTGAAAACTTAATGTTAAAAAAAAAATTTGTTAGTTCGATTTTCATATTTTGAAATAATGTTTTAATGTTGTTATCAGATAAAAAAATGCTAATGTCATCTGCAAACATGGCAGCAATCAAGTTCGAAGCTTTATGTAAATTATTGATGCAAATGACAAAATGGAAGGGGCCCAATATTGGAACCCTGGGAAACACCACAGGTTATATTTATTAGGTTGGATGAGTCAGTTAAATTACTATAAGCAAACTGTTTACGGTTGCTTAAATAGCTTTTAAGAAACAGTAAAAGATTTCCTTAAAATCCATAAAATTTGAGGATAATTTTATTATCAATTGTATTAAATGCTTTCCATAAATCTATGAAAACTCTCAAAGTAAATGGTAAATTTTCAAAAAATTCAGAAATATTGTATGAAATTTGGATTATTGCATGTTCTGCTGAGTTTTTTTTTTTTTTTTTTTGAATCCGTATTAATTAACATATAGTATATTATTTGAAGAGAAGTGATTATAAATTATGTTATATAAAATTCCCTCTATAATTTTAAAAAGAACAGACAAATCAGAAATTAGGCAATAATTAAAAACATTGGTTGCATCACCAGCTTTGAAAATTAGTGTCACTTTAGCTATTTTTACAAAATCAGGAAAAACGCCCTTTTGTATTGAACAATATAAAACTTTAAATAGTAAATCTTTAATGGGTTCTGAAGACTTGATAACAACATTACCATTTATATTATCATGACAAACAGCTGATTTGTTACACATAAGCATTTGAAAATTGAAATTAGAATAGAGATCTTTTTCAAGCTCAAATGCCCCCTCCAGAGTTGGCTTCTTAACAAGACAAGATTAAATGGTAGTAATATTGACGAACAATGCCACCTTGATGTGAGAATATCTGGAAGATCATTAATGTAAATTAAAAAGAGTCTAGGGCCAAGGATTGAACATTGAGGAACCCCTGAAGTTACAGGATATGAAAAAGAGTGCTTTCTATCTAGTATAACTTTTATACTAAATCTTAAATATTTTACCTGATACATCGTAAGTAGAAATCTAATTGAGAAGACCAGCATGCCAATTTTATCTAAAGCTTTAGAAATGTCAAGAGCAATAGCCTTAACTTCTTCATCTCTAACGAATGTACAATAAAACCTATTGTTTATTACTGTTAGTAAATTGACTGTAGAACAAGAAGATAAAAATCCATATTGATGATCAGAAAGTAAGTTATTAGATTCAAGATAAGAGATTAAGTGTTTATTAATTAAAGAGTTAAAAACCTTGCTAATGATTGTAAGAAGACTAATGGGACAGTAGTTATATGAGTCAGATTGCTCTCCAGAATATTTGAAAATAGGGATAAAAGATGGTGCTTTCCAGCATACTGGAAAACAAGACTCCGATCAACACTTGTTAAATAGTTTTGAGAGTATCGACGACAGCTCCGGAGAACATTTATGTAAGACTACAAAAGGTATGTTGTCCGAACCATAGGCTGTAGAAGAGTCTAAGCAGGAAATCACTTTAGGTTCAGAAGCTGGAGTAATACAAATGTCAAGCAATAAATCAACCTGTTTGTTAGCAATACAAGATAGAACAAACTAGTGGAATCAAGAGATGATATTGATGACAAGTTCTTAACAAACAATTCAGCTTTGTCTTTAGGTGAGATGACAAAGTCTTAACCGTACAAGAGAGTAAAAATAACAGATTTGCCCTTATTATTGATACTGTTAAAGATTCTCCAGAAGTCACGAGAGCCTAATTTTTGAGATGAAACACGAGATGACCTGAGAATAGCGGGATTGGCGATAAGCAAAACCTTTTTACAATGTTTTCTAGCAATAGTAAACAGATGTCTGTTTTCTGGATTGTTTTGCTGATAGATATGTAAGTAACGGTTTTGATTGGAAATTGCAGTGGTACAATGTGAGGAAAACCATGGAGAAGAGTGGGGCTAGACCTGAAATCGTCAAAAGAAAATAAAAAAATCCAAGAAGTTATGTAAGAAGTCCATTTATTAGCAGGAAGATAAATGATTACTACCTAAGGGCCGCAAGAAAGAAAATCAGAGTCAAGAGTTCTAGTCAGTTTTAAGGTAGTTGTAAGAGGTACAATGATAGGGGGATTCTGATGATTAAGAAGAATAAGATAATAGTTTTAGAGGGATCGAACCGTGATCAGAAGCACCTAAGGGTAAATTTGGAGAAACTGACCACTGATTAGGATCAGAAACAAGACATAAGTCAAGTAGAGAAAGTAAATTATCGAGTTGTCTGAAAAACTAGTTGGGAAGTTGACTATTTATTTTAGAAATTGAAAAAGACAAATGTTGTGGGCCTTAACGCCTGCAGAGTTACTGACACTAGAGCCAAGCCATGTGATGAGCATTAAAGTCACCAACAACAATGATATTTAATGATAGATAAAGAGAGAGAGCTTGGTTAATTTGATTAGAAATAACATCAAAAAGATTCCAGTTTTGAGACAAAGGAGAACAATTTAGAACAAATAAAAAGGTGATAAAGTTAAGTGATGCTAAACGAAAGAATATAAAAGTTCAGTCAGTGGATTCAAACCTATTTTCCTGACAAATGGGTGAATTCTTACGAATTTAAAGCATGTGACTTGACCTAACAAAATAACCTTTACAACAAAACAAATTAACTTTTAGATATTATAGTCTAATAATAAAATAAAATGAGGTATTAGGGTCAAAAATACAATATTCAACTAAAAGCTAAGATTCTGATAAAAGAAAGAAAAAGTATTTTCAAATTTGAAAATCATTAAATAAGAATAATTGTTGTTTTACCAGTTTAAGAGCTGACCCTTAAGCACCTAAAATTTGTTAATCTATTAAATTAAAAATAATTAACTTTTTTTATTTTATTTGAAAAAAAAAACATACACTCAATAACTTCAGTTCTCCTGTCCATTCACAATTATTTTGAAAATTACCACATTTTACTTTTAATTGCAGAATTTCTCTTTCATAAGCTTTATCTGAAAAAGTCTTAAAAAAAACAAAAAAATTTTAATAAATAACCAGCATTATTATGTAAACTAACATATTTTCTACCTAACTATCCAAAACAACAAAAAAAAAACATAAAAAAGTAAATAACCATATTAAAAAAAGTAAATTACCTTATCAGAAATGGATTTGTCTAGAGGGCAAATTAAAACTCCTTCATTTCTAAAAAAAGTAATAAAACTTTTTTTATTCTCTTGAATTTTTTCCTTTAAATCTTCACTTTTGTAAAAATTTGAATAATAATTAATACTTCTAACTTGTTACTTTAGGTTGTTTGCTAACTATCATCACAAAAAAAAAACAAAAAAACAAAAAAAAACAAACAAAAAAAAACTTTAAAACGTTAACTACCCAGCCTTATTTAATGTCATAAAGTGTCACAAAGTATCAAAACTATCACTCTAAAAAAATAAATATTGGTTTTTTTCCTTCTAAAACGTTTCTGGCTAACAGTTATACTGTTTTTTTTGAAAAAAGTGATTCTTCATTTTTTTCCCATGAGTAATTTTCTTTAAAGTAAATTTTGTAATATATATATATATATATATATATATATATATATATATATATATATATATATATATATATATATATATATATATTATATATATATATATATATATATATATATATATATATATATATATATATATATATACATATATATATATAGGCTTGGTCGGGAAGCGGATGCGATCGCACTCAATATTTGACCACGGAAATTATATTTAGTTGCAAAAAGCCGGCCAGATTTTCTAAGCATTTTGAGTACATTTCAAAAACAAGCAAAAAAGCTAAAAAAAAAACAAAAAAAGCAAAAAAGATAAACTGGACCGATGAGAGACAGTTAAAAAAAGAAAAATAGTTTTTAACGCAAAAAAAACTTTAACCAAAATAAATACTATTAGAGCAAATGTTTTTGAAACGTCGCTCTTTTATAACTTTTTTTTAAAAAAAGCGACATTTTTTGTATATAGTAACAACGTACTAACAATGATTGTTTAATAAATAAGCAAATGTTCTTCAATTTATCAAAAATTATATATAATTTTTATTTATATACTTTTGTCTTATTTCCAGTGGTGGAAATAAGAGGTGGGGGGGGGGGGGCAGTAGAAGAGCTATAGTCCCAGGACACACAATGTTATGGGCCGAGAAACAGTCAAGATGACCTATCGGTTTTTTTAAGTCATTTTTACGCTGTCGCAAATAAAAAAGGCCACCAAAATAATGCTACCTCCGGCCCTGTAAAGTCCAACAAGATTAAACCAATAAAACTAACGCTACATAATTTAATTATAAATAAAAAAAGTTTTTTTACTACCTGTTTTATGCTTCGCGTAGTTTGAAAAGTTTAACATACTTAAAACAATTCTTCTTAGTAAGATGAACAAATGAAATAACTAAATTATTGAGTTACTGTGGAAATTTAATTAGCTAGATAGAAATTAGCTAGATAAAAAAAGTTAAATTACTTTGTAAGGAGGAAGCGGAACTGCTTAACAATATCGCTGATGATGTTTAGTGAGTAGGCTTTATATCTTTAACTAGTATTTTACAGAAAAAAGTAACTTTAGATGTAAGTATAACGAGTTTGTAAGAATGGCTGAAGCAAAAATAGTTGAAGTTAATAAACCAATTTCTAATACATTACATATATATAAATACATCCCTTATATAAAAAATAAGATTATACTAAACAAATCTATTATATATATTTACAAAACATTGACAAAAAATATAATTTTAAATCATTTTTTTTAGTAAACAAATGTTAGTTTAAAACATTTATAGCTTTGTAGGTGTGACTCCGAGAATGAGCCATTGTATTAAAATTATTGTTCGTTTGATAGTTTATTCTTAAAATAATTGATGCCAGAAATCTCAACGAAAACATAACAAAACTCAAATTATACGATTTTGAAAAATAATTCAACAGAATACTCTAGAACATTCGCTTGAATTCTTTATTAATTTCAGTTATTTATTAATTAAACCAATAGAATTAGTTGTTCGTAAACTAGTGGTGGTAAATTAGTGGCGGTAAATTAGTGGTGTGAATTAGTGGCGTATATTGGCGGTAAATTATTTTGTAAATTAGTGGTGGTAAATTAGTGGCGGGTTTTCTGTGTTCGCGAATATTATTTATTTATTTTTCCGCACCAGGATGTTTGACAACATTCAAGTTTATATAAGTTTCCATGTACGTCCGTAAAACAAAATATTTTAAAATTTACGATAAAATAATAAATTTATTATTTTACGGACAAACTAGGAAACATACATAAACTTAAATATTTTCAAAACGGCTGAAAAGTCTGGCCGGTTTTTCGCAAGTAAATATAATTTCTGTGGTCAATTATTGAGTGCGATCGCACCCGCTTCCCGACCAAGCCTGTATATATATATATATATATATATATATATATATATATATATATATATATATATATATATATATATATATATATATATATATATATATATATATATATATATATATATATATATATACATGTAATTTTACAGCATGATGTCCTATAAATTCTTTTTTGAAAGAGTGCTTATGACTAAGAAATGGCTTTTTTCATACACTTTTGTTTAGCTAATATATTGTTCATCAGCTACATTTTATTTTAAAACAACACATTTACATACTAAACATTTTGACAAACATTTTGTACACTCATTTGACAATTGTTTATTTGTTTAAAATTGCAACTTTTTGTATTTTTTTGTTTAAGGGTTTTGTTTTCGTTTAACAGAGCATTGTTGTTATCTTTTATAGTTATTTCCTTGCCTTTTGTGCAGGTTAGAATTTTCAGAAAAATTTAATGTTAGATCAAAAAAAAATAACAATTTTTAAAGTTATGCTTGTTTTACTTAAAAATGGAATAACTCTCAAACACAATTTTTTAAATTTAATTACTTACTTAATTAATAAGCATTACATAATAGTATACTATTATTAAAAACTAATATACTATTTAATAATAGTATACTGTTATTAAGAAATAGTATACTATTATTAAAAACATAATAGTATACTGTTATAAAAAACTAATGATAAATTAATAAGTAAAAAATAGGAAAAAAAATGAATACTTAGTTATGCGGTTGTGTTGTAGTGGCAAATTTTTTAATTTTTTTAATACTTTTTTTATTTAGGTCATGCTCCGGACCGGAATTTTTATGAGTTACTAGTATTAAAAAAAATTTAAAAACTTTGCAACTACAACACAACCGCATAATTAAGTATTCATGTTTTTTCTATTTTTTACTTATTAATTTTTAATTAATTATTTTTTTCAATAAGTTTTTATCAGCACTTGGCAGTATCCTGTGTTTCCTCTGAAACCTAAAATTAAAACTGATTCTGCAACAAAACACCTAAATTTTACACCAGAATTTAGTCATAATTAAAAAAAATATTGATTTGAATCAATTACACAGTCAGTATTTAATTTTGTATAGTAAATGAATCACAAACTCATTTTGTCCTTATTTTAGACTTAAAACAAAGAGCAAAATTTAACTTTTCTAATTTTTTACGTATGTATGTATATATAACTAAACAATTTTTTTTTCAATGTAAATTCACCTTCTCAAAGGCATATGGCTACTATAGTCAAGGAGGCTTCTTTTTTTGTAACAATAAATACAAAAAAAGAAGCCTCAGTATAACCAAGTGCTGTTAACTAGTGTAAAAACGTGTAAATTGTTTACAAAGAATTGTGGTATGCCCTGGTAGTATAACATTTGAAAACAAATAAATATGTTGTTTTCAATATCCAAATGCTGTCAATAATTGATTGCTCTTAATTTATTTTCGTAAATTGTTTATAAAATTATTCTTCTTTTTTTAAAATATTTTAATATTATTTAAAAAAGTTCCTGATTAAAATTATAGATTTCATAAGTAATATTATCAAAAAGAGGAAAACTCCAAAATGTTAAAATGTTTTAATAAATATATCATATATCATATCTTAACCAAGCTAATCGGCTCATATTAATAAGCCAATTTGAAAATATTCATATAAAACTTGATAAAATAATTTGCTAGTTATTAATTACATAGTAAATTATCATTTATACATTCATGCATACTTACATTCATACATACATACATACATACATACATACATACATACATACATACATACATACATACATACATACATACATACATACATACATACATACATACATACATACATACATACATACATACATACATACATACATACATACATACATACATACATACATACATACATACATACATGCATACATACATACATACATACATACACAAATACATACATACATACATACATACATACATACATACATACATACACATATATAAATATATATATATATATAAATATATATATATATATATATATATATATATATATATATATATATATATATATAAATATATATATATATATATATATATATATATATATATATATATATATATATATATATATATATATATATATATATATATATATATATATTTATATATATATATATATATATATATATACATTTATATATATATATATATATATATATATATATATATATATATATATATATATATATATATAAAAAAAGAGGGAAAAATTTATATATACAAAATGTATGCATGTGTGTATATATTTATATGTATGTGTGTAAGTGTATGAGTATACATATAAAAAAAAATAAAGAAAGAAAATTATCCAATCGGAACACATTAGTTAAAACAGCTATTATTCAGTATCATTTGAGACGTTTAAAAGAAGAAAAAAAAGATTTAAAAAAGCTGTTAACTTATTAAAGCTGATGAACGAACTTTGAGATAGTTAAAAGACAAATGAAAACTGTTTAAAAAAACTGAAGTATTGGATATATAAAAACTAAAAACAACTGAGATTTCTAACCGGATATAAAAACTTGAAATATAAAAATACAATTACACACAATACTCTATAAAAAAGCAATGAGAAAGTTTATTAAATGGATCCTCCTACCAAAATAAACAATTGCCGAATAATCAATTTTGTTAATAACAGTAATCACCAGTTACAGTTTACAGAAAAAATGTTTTTCACTCTCTTGTAAAATTTTAATTTTGTGACTTGTCACATTTTCAAAATACAGCG